CGCGGATTGCCTCGCGCCGCGGACCTCCCCGCGCAGCGGATCGCATAGCGTCGCGGTCCTCCCCCTCCCCGCGCCCCCGCGAATCGCTGCAGAATATCTCCTTCCCCGCGCCCCGCGGATCGCCAAGCGTTGTGGAATAATAAACGTGGAACTCCTCGACATCGTTCACCTTGATAAGAAAGTCATCAGCCAGGTTTCGGCGCTTGACCCTGTGACTCATACCCGTCCAGGTGTCAAAAATGACAGGTCAGCATCTAGATCGCGGTCTCCTCGCCGCGGAGTACCCCCCCTCCCCCTCGCCTCGGAGTACCCCCCGCCCCGCTCCCCCCTCGGAGCTCCCGGGGTAGAACCGGCCCATATACCCTACTTTTATACTATACTACTAGAAAAACAATACAAATAAAATATAATGAAAACAAAAAATTTGTTTGCGATAATTGACATGCTCTCTCTGTTCTCTATCTCTTTCTCTCTTGGCCGATTCCTTTCTTTTCGTCCTCCAGCTCTGTCTGATGCTCCCGTAAACCATCGACTTGTTTTAGAGACAATCTCTTTCTCCGAAACAGAAAATTTTTCGACTAAAATATCTGCAAAAAATTTTTAATTTATTACTACCGTACTAAACTGAATCACACACACACACACACACACATACATACACACAACTGTGATGAACCAAAGAAATAGAAAATACCTCTCATGCATTTGAACGTCATCGTATCGCAGAAACTCTTCTTTTTCTGTCCAGAAGCTTCACATCCGCAAGCAGAATATTGCAATTGAACATCTGTGTTGAGTAAAGCAGTTAACATTACAGAAATGCCTTTTGCAGTGATTTCTACACCTATTAGTTTATTTGTCATCATGATTTTCTGTAAAATGTAATATTATATTTTCTTCCAATCATATTTACTCAATAGATAATTCTATGTAAAACTTACAAAGAACTTCTCTTTTTTGGTGTCCAGCGATAACTGCTCGTTTAACTGCATGAACTGTTCTAAACTATTTAATGGCAAAGTAATTGCTAAGTCGTTTCTACATTCGGTTAATTGTGTTACGTCCCGCGGTTTTTAATTTTGCGCGGGAACGTCAGAAATCTTCTGACAAGAAGAGGAAAGGCAGAGAAGGAGGAGGAGATCTGAAATTTAGCGTGCGTGTGGGTGTATGAATGAGTGTATGTGTGAGTGTGGTTTGCATGGTTAATTTATTTTATTTGTATGTACATGTGTGTCAGTGTAATAGAAAAAGCGGCTATAATAGTGGCATGTTCCGTGCCTTTTGTGGCGCGTTGATGCGAGGGAGGATGATTTTAATTTTCCTCTGAAGGGGCTCCACAGAGACCACCCGTGGGCGAGTGGCGGGTGCCCGGGCGATCGCTGGCCTCCCCGGGGCGAGCGATGGTGTGGGGCCCGGGAGCGAGGCCAGGGGTGCTCGCGGCGGAGGGGTGATAGGGGGCCGAGGTTTCCACACCCTTTCTGGGCAGCACTCGCTGGTGCTAAGAGGGGGAGGGCGCACCGGAGGTGGGCGAGGTGTCCCCTCGTGAGGGGGAGGGGCCTTGGGAGGAGGAGATTGAGGATACGGGGGAGGAGGGTGTGAATACGGTGGAGGAAGTCGCGAGAAAGGGGGAGGAGGTTGCGGATGAGGGAGAGGCGGTGGCGGGTGGTTCGTCTCCCGGGGCGCGGGCACAGGGGCTTTGCGGGCATGTACGTCGAAAACCCGCGGGTCAAACACCCGGACCTGGTGCGCCTTAATCAGACGCCGTAATTGGCGCTGCCGCCCTGAGCGGCAGGACCGGCCCATAATAGGGCTCCCTGCGGAAGGCACTCATGATTAAATTTGGTTATTCACACGAGAGGGAATGTGGGGGTTAAGTAGTGGGGAGGGTAAATAACGGTGTCCTGCTCTGGCACACACGGAATTGCGCGGAGTTGCGTAGTATTCCTCCTCCCGTTTGCTCTACTCGTGAGTGGAAAGCATTGGTTTTTGGTGAGAGTACTCATGTCAGTAGCGTGCTGTTGCGTGTGTGGGAGTTTAGGTCCATACACTAGTTTCGTTTGTTAATGATTGTTTATTCGAAATTACATGAACGCGAGGACTTGGTCTCGATATATCTTACCAGAGAGCTCGGTCTCTGGTACGCACGAAATCACGAACGCGAGGACTCGGCCTCGATATATCTTAGCGGAGAGCTCGGGCTCCGGTACGCACGAAA